CCAAAAAAAAAAAAAAAAAAAAAAAAAAAAAAAAAAGGGCAAGGAGTGGGCAGTAGAGAGTAGGTGGGAGGGGCAAGGGAGGGGCAAGGGAGGGGCAAAGGGAAGAAAGTTTTTGCTTGTTCATTTTTTAGAGAGATTATCATTATAGGGCCCATTTGACCTCACCAGAGAGACAGAGAGACAGAAAGTGAGAAATCATCCCCCAGAGGAATTGGCCATGCTGAAATCCCTTTACTCCATTCTCCTCTTGGAATTTGGGGCACACATGCACACACACCTGGCATGAGCTTTAAGCCATCAGGTCTGGGACTTGAACTATGGTCAACTACACAGGAGTCCAGCAATGCAGACATTAGGCCATCTGCTGGTCACAGGAAGAAAATCTTAACAGACAAAGACAAGTAAGTGTATTGTTAAAAACAAACAAAAAAGAGGTTCTGTAATTTTTGCTTAATAAAAATAAAAATTTGGGACGAGCAGTTAGTCATAATGACATAATGGCTATGTCACTGGACTCCCATGTAGTTGACTGTGGTTTGAGTCCTGGACCCGGTGGTTTAAACTCACACTGGGCATGTGTGCATGCGTGCCCAAGATCCCGAGAGGAAAATGGAGAAGAATGGATTGTGGCCTAGTCATCCCCCCTTGGGGGTGATTTCTCGCTTTCTGTCTCTCTGTCTCTCTCTGTCTTCCTGGAGAGTGCACACATCCTATAGCAAAAACCTCTCCAAAAAATGAAATAAAAATAAAAATTCATAAAAAGCAACTTTTTTTTAAAAAAAGCTGTCATTTGCTCATTTGCACCTTCCTTTATGAAACATTTGGTAATTAGAAGTGTATTGTATTTATATCTCTTCATGTACTACCAGCTGAGATTTGAATATTACATGGATTGTGTCATTTAAGTTTTACACATGAACATTCCATGAGATTGTATTACTAGGGACTTATTCTACAAAATGGGGCTCAGAAGGGTTAAGTGATTTGCCCAAGGTATGAACCAAGTAAGGTATGGCTTTGATTCAGACTCCATCGAGGTGTTTCTAGGTCTCATGCTTTGTGTCAGTGGTTATCAACCAGTATACCTGCTCCTCCAGGGGACACTAGATAATACATGTAGAAGTTTGGTTGTGACAACTGGGGAGGTGCCACTGGTACTTAATGATTTGAAGTCAAGGAGCCTTAACATCCCAGAATATTCAGGACAACATCCATCATAGACACTTATCATGTGTGTGATTGCCCAAAATCCTGAAAGGAGAAGGGATTGCTATATGGCCATCCCCCCCCTGGGGGGGGTTGTAATTTCATTTACCAACTCTCTGTGTCTCTGTTGTTCTCTGGTGAGTGACATACACTATAGCAAAAAAATCAAAAATAATTTCAAATAAAGATCTACATGGACATCAAAATTGGTTATATTCCATGTGTATTTTGTAACAAGTGGAATGATTATAGTGAATACTTTTCTGTTCTTTAATGGTCTTGTACAAAAAGGATTGTCTTGACAAACTAGAAGACCCCAGAAGAGAATTTATTACAAGATGAGAAACCCAAAAACAAAAACAATAGGTTAACCAGAAGAAAATACCGTATTTTTTTCCCTGAGTAAGTGAAGACTGACTCTATGAAACCTGTCTGCAACTGAAAGGCATACTAACACAGTTTCTTGTACATCTCTAAATACTGTCCCTCCTTTGGCATATGTGTTCTCCTACAGGTCTTTGAAGTCTCTGTTGACTCCCATCACTGCTCAAGCCTTCCCATCGCTGTGGATAGTAGCCACGGTGAATTCATGCATTAATTCTCCATCTTCTTTCAAATCCTTATATCTGTGTTGTTTATTTGCATTTCAAATGCTACGTCTTCTAATAAATTCTCTCAATAGATACCAGTATGAAAGTGAGGGCCTTATGAAATGAGCAGATTAGTCATAATCAAAGTAATACATGGCAAGGACCGGGATGACATCAAAAACATTTGTGAAGCAGGTTGTATCTAGTCTATTAATCGAAGATCTAGACATGATATCTGAGGACTCTATTCGTTATCTGAAGAAAAAGTGTTTATTTCTTTCTTAGATTGGGATAAGGAGTTGAAAGTGAGGGATCAAGAAGAACTATATACCTCTGAGGAGGGCTTGAAACCCTGGGATATAATTTTCATAAGAGCTAATTAAGCATATACTTTTATTCTCATTCTTTTTTCTAGGAGTATCCAGCCACTGAGGGCAAAGGTGAAAGACATTCTTTAAGGCTCGAGACATATATAGAAGTTTTAATTTGCTTTGATCATTAGAATACATTAATATGAACAGTGGGTCCCAGTGGTCTTTGGTACATTTCTGTGATTGCATGGAACCCTGCCTCAGCCATGTGAACAAGTCCAGGCTATCCAGCTGAAACAGGAGATGAAATGTGGAAGGGCCTAATTGTCTTAGTCAAGAACACCCTAGATCAACTAATAGTCAGCCAAGTCCTCAACAGATGAGAAACCTCAGCCAACATCGACATCAAGCTCATTTGACTCACAGATAACTACAGATTCATGAGACCCAAAGAGCTCAGAAATATCGCCCCTCCCCCAAATAGTCTCCTTAGTTAACAAAGATGTTGCATTAAGCCATTTTCATGTAGGATGGCTTGTTATGCAGCCTTAAATAACAGATACAACAATCAAGTGAACAGAATGAAGGGCAATTATACTAAACTTCTACTTTTTATTTTCGGTCTTTTTTCCCTGATGTTTTAGGACTGCACCAATGACTCCTCTGTTACTCAGTTATTTGAAAAGATTATATTAAAAAGTGACTAACATAAGTTTCCTTGCAGGAAAACCAAGAGGTAAGAAACATTATGCTTGTTCGTGCAGATATATTTGTGATGCTGAATCACACATGACTACATAGAAATACAAGGTGGCTTTTGAGGCATGCTTTGATCATGTAGATTACAAAGATATCTGCACATAAACGAGATATATATATAAAGATGATATGGACAATAGTCACTCACTGCCACTTTGATGATTGTGTTTAGAAAAGGAAACCTGTTGTTGACTGATATGCATGGTAATCATGTTGGAAAAGGAAATGTTTTACACTGTAAAGATAGATGTGATTAAATGTAATATAAAAATATAATAATAAAATTTTAAAAATTAAATTAAATTTAAAAAATCTTTTAAAAAGGATATGTTGTATTTAGGAAAATGGAAAGATTTATAAATTTAAGCAACACAAAATTTTCAACATGAAATAGGAAAATATTTCAATAATAAAACATAAATCAAACCAAACCATACTTTATCAAAATGAAGAATCCACTTTATGCATGAACACCAGTCTTATATAATGCATAGGTTAAAATTTGGTGCATCATTTTTAAATTCTTCTCTGACTTTAAGGCCATTAAAAAAAACCCATTCATTGAAAGGTGTCTTTCCAAGTAGAGTCCACTTAAAGACATGAAGAAAGTAATGCCTCTTTTCAAGTTATTATATATGAGAAAAAAATGATGAGTTAAACTAATGCTGTGCTTAACTCTACATTTCATAAAGAAGAGTTTAGATGGCCATATATCATGGAATGATGGACAGAAAATTTTAAATTCTGGTCTCAGATTTCTTCTACAATTGAAAGATATAAATGACATTGGCAGCTAAATACAGCTATTTTCTTCCCATAAGAAAAGTACAACATATTAATTTTTAGTAAAAGAAGGAACACATTTTCAGTATACATCATCAAGGGAAAAAATGAGAAATTTTAAAATAAATTATCTATTTAACTGCCAAATACAGATTTATGGATTTGTGGTGTACAACATGTTTTGAAATATGTACACATAGTGTAATGGCTGATTCAAGCTAATTAACATACATTAAAACTACCTTAAATAAATCTATGTTGCTCTAAGAAATTAATGGGAATTTCCAAGTATTTATGATCTAAGGATGTGAAAAACTTGTGAAAAAAAAAGTGGAAAAGGGAAAGAACTAATGTTCAGGTGTCAGCCAGAGTGGAAAAATAGGGTATCATATTGTATGGAGATGTTAAAATCAAAGTAATGGAAGTTCCTGGAAATAGAATGGAATAAGTTCTAGTTCCAGAATCTTCCAGATTCTTACCATTTCTGCTTGATGATTGAGCCCTATTAACAAATTCATTTCTTCAATGTACGGACAGTTGATCATTTGATAGTCTCAGAGCCCTCTTTATGTCTTTATTCCTCAGACTGTAGATGAAGGGGTTCAGCATGGGGGTGACCACAGTGTACATCACTGAGGCTGTTGCAATCGAGTGTGAGCTGTGGGTAGCAGCAGAACTAAGGGACACACCTATACTTGTGCAATAAAATAAGGAGACAACTGAGAGGTGAGAGAAACAGGTAGAAAACGCTTTGTGCTTCCCCTGAGCTGATGAAATTTTAGATATGGAGGAAACTATCTTAGAGTAAGAGTAAAGGATCCCAGTGAGGGGACCACCACCCAGCAGCACAGATGCAAAATAGATCACCATGAGATTAATAAATGTGTCAGAGCAGGCAAGGTGGACTACTTGATTAATTTCACAGAAAAAGTGGGAAATTTTCACCTGTGTATAGAAGGACAATCGCAGCACCATTAAACTATGTATTAGTGAAACTAGGACACTCAGGATCCAGGAAAACAGAACCAGTAACACACACTGCTGGGGGTTCATGATGATGGTGTAATGCAGAGGGTGACAGATGGCCACATACCTGTCATAGGCCATCACAGTGAGGAGGAAGTCATCCAACCCTGTAAAGAGCATGAAAAAATACATCTGGGTGATGCAGCCTGCATAGGTGATGACCTGGCTCTGTGTCTGGATGTTCACCAGCATCTTTGGGACTGTGGTGGAGGTGAAACAGATGTCTACAAAGGACAGGTTGGAGAGGAAGAAGTACATGGGGGTGTGCAGGTGGGAGTCTGAGATGGTGGCCAGGATGATGAGCAGGTTTCCACACACTGTGATAAGGTACATGGAGAGGAAAATCACAAATATAAGAGGCTGTAATTTGAGTTCCTCTGAAAGTCCCAGAAGAAGAAATTCTGAAATTCTTGTATCATTCTCTGGTTCCATGTGATGGAAGTGACTATCAGGAAAAAGAAATTAACATAACTGTCTCAAAATTGCTCACATAGTTAACTGACTTAGTTCTCAAAAATTAGTCACATTTCCTGTAGAAGACAATGCCTATTATATATTGGACTCTACTGATACATGATGCATTCATTCTGAGAGAATTAAATAAGGGATAATCTTGAAAAACAAACAACAGAGAATTATTCACTGATTTGAAATGCTACAATTCAGTTTTTATTTAAAAAATTGATCTCAGGGCCAGCAGGGTTAAGGCCCTTGGCTCCCACAACTGAGCATGGTGTGAGTCCTGGACCTGGTGGCTTGCTTTCTTGCTTTCTCTCTCTCTTTCTCACACACATGTGCCTTATCGTTAATTAAAAATAATAATAATGATAATAAGTAAATAGATAAATAATTTTTAAAAAGAATTTGATCTCTACATATTTTTAAATTTCCATACAGTGCATGTACTTGCTAGGAAAACAGAAATGGGGGTGGGAAGAAAAAGTACTCTCCCTAATCCCTTCTTTTTTCGTCTCTCCATCCTGGCATGATTTTTTTTTTTTTTTACTTTTTTTTGGAGAGGTTTTTGCTATAGGACGCATGCACTCGCAAGACAGACAGAGAGAGATGGAGAGACAGAAAGCGAGAAATCACTCCCCAGATGGGATGGCCATGCCGAAATCCTTTCTCCTCCATTCTTCTCTAGGGATCTTGGGCATGCATGCACACACGTCTGGTGTGAGTTTTAAGCCACTGGGTCCAGGACACGAACTGCGGTCGACTACATGGGAGTCCAGTGACATAGCAATTACACTAACTGCTGGTCCCAATCCTGGCATGATTTTTGACATGCATACCCAGAATGTTTTTCAAGCAGCCAGGGCTGGCCAACCACATGAGATTTGACTCCTCAAACTGCTAAACTACAGGGCTGATCCATTCCCTTTTTTGTGTTTGTTTCCTTTCCCCTTTAGCACAACCCACCCTCCAGGCTATGTCTGATTGAGACTTTCTATCCCATTCTTAGCCTTTCCCCAAATTCTTACATCATTTGTATAATATAGACTGAAAACACACCAAAGACCATGTATTGTCTGGGTAATGATTATAAGTTGCTAAGAAATTAAAATACTTAATACTTATTGGTGGATAGTGTGAACTAATAAATAAACAATCGTGTGACATATCACATGTTAACAAGTGCTTTGAAGACAACAAAATTATGTAGAAGTGAGAGAGTGGACAGGGGGACTATTAACTGGCAGATAAGATGACATTTGAACAGATACCTCAGGGAAGAGAGGGTGGGAGCTTCAGGGATATCTGGGGAAGTGGACATCTTGCAGAGGAAAGGAATGAGAAGGAGAATAATGAGATGGTGTCAGATGTTGAGGAATGGGGAGACCTGCTGATGCTGAAACCTGAAGACACTGAGGGTTCTTCCGTCATATGCTGTCCTATCCCCCTATGAATGTAGCCCTCTAAGAGTGGAGACACAGCAGCAAGATTCCAGTTTGCAAGTTTCCCATGGACATGTGAGCTTGCGGCCACATTGTGGTTTGACTACTTTGAACTGTGCATTTATAGAAACATTTAAAAAGAGAGAATAATGGGAAATACATAACCAAGTAACTAGAACAGATTTAAAACAAGTGTACTTAATAAAAAGGAATGAGAATATAAAACAAATTATTAAAGAAAATTTTAAGATGGAGCCAGCAGGTGGCGTGGTGGTTAAGGTGCTGGACACTCCCACATGGCCAACCACGGTTCGAGTCCTGGACCTGGCGGCTTCCTTTTTCCCTTTCTCTCTCTCTCTCTGTGTCTCTCTCTCTGGTCAAATTAAAGTAAATGAATGAATAAATAAAATTAAATAAGTAATAATTAAAAAAAGAAAACTTTAAGATGATAACTTAATTGCATTAACGTAAATCTCTAATTTCAGGGTAAATTGAAAATACCTGAATATAAAACAGGTAAATTATTTTAAATTATCTTAATTTATTTTACAAATTTAATCACTATATATCACTTATCTTATATGTTGAATTTAGCCAACATGAATATACTTCACACCAGTTCAGTTGAGGATGCAAACACATTATCATCAACAGTTAATAACCCATTTCTGTGTCCCATAAACATCTTGCCTTTCTATTTTCGTCCTTAATTTATTTCCTTACCCTCAAGAAGTAGTGGAAGAAAAGGTCTCAACAGTATCTATTGTTAAAATTTTGTATCATTTAAACAAAATGGATTCAAATAGGCTTATTAAAAATATACATGATTTTAGGTGAACACAAAAGAATGTGTTGTATATAATGGTAGAAAATGATCATTAAGGAGACCAGTATATGGCCTAATGATTACATTGCTGCACTCACAGTTCGAGTATCAGGCTCAGTGACTTGAATCTTATGCTGGCCGTGTGTGCCCAGGATCCTGAGAGGAGAATGGAAGAGAAGGGGCCGTCCCCTAAAGTGATTTCTCACTTTATGTCTCTCTGTCTCTCTCTGTCCACAGAGTGTATATGCCCTATAGCAAAAACCTCTCTAAAAAAAAGAAAGAAAGAAAGAAAGAAGAAGAAAATGATTAAGTTTAAAAAAACAGATTTAATCCATAAACACATGTCGTAATTTTCATTCTTTCTTGTTTTGCCCCTTAAATCTTTTATTAGGGTGGAAAAAATAGTGTCAGATTATTAAGAAAGAATTATTTGATTCATAATGTTTGATTAGTAATTTTAAACAGATATCACAGGTAAAACAATGATCGCCAAAGTGGAAGTACCAGCTCGTGATAGGAATATTTGGTGATTCAGGCCTTATCACCAATAGTGCACACTGGGGAATGGCTAGCAGCCTGCATTTCACTATAGGGCACATGGGGACCAGCAGTTAGCATAATGGCTATGTCACTGAACTCTCATGTAGTCAACTGGGGTTTGAGCCCTGGACCTGGTGGCTTAAACTCATGCCAGGTGCGTGTGTGTGTGTGCCCAAGAGCCTGAGAGGAGAATGGAAGAGAAGGCACTGTGGCATGGCCATTCCCCCCAGGGAGTGATTTCTCACTTTCTGTCTCTCTGTCTCTCTCTGTGTTTCTGGAGAGCGCATGCACCCTACAGCAAAAAACTCGAACACAAAAAACAAAAAACTATAGGACACATGCACTCACCAAGAGACAGACCACGAGAAAGTGAGAAATCTGCCCCCATGGGGAGTGGCCATGCTGCAATTCCTTGTCCTTTACATTCTTCTTGGGATTTGGGGCATGCACACGCACATGCTCAGTGTGAGTTTCAAACTGCCAGGTCCAGGACTCAAACCATTCAAGCTCCCAGATCTGGGACTTACACTTGGTTGGCCATGTGGGAGTCCAGCACCTTAACCCTCACATCACCTGCTGGCCCCCACATGTGGTACTAATAAGAAAAACAAATGTGAAATAACACAGTGAATGTTACAAAAGAGAAGTTATTAATCTAATGATTCAAAAGATGTTCTTAAGTTTAAAAAGGAATTGGGAGTGGGTGGCTTGGACCAGAAGATGACATAATGGGTATGTAGCTGTACTCCCACGTGATTGACCACGGTTTGAGTCCTGACCCAGCGGCTTGAAACTGATGCCAGGTATCTGTATGTGCATGCCCAAAGTCCTGAGAGGAGAAAGGAAGAGAAGGTATTGTGACATTGACCTCCCTCACTGGGGTGATGTTTTACTTTCTGTCTCTCTGTCTCTCCAGTGAACACACATGCCCTATAACAAAAATCTCTTTCTCAAAAAAAAAAAAAAGAAAAGAAAAGAAAAGAAAAAAGCACTGAAGGAGAGCCAGCAGGTGGCATGTGTGTGGTATGTGTGGTTATTAAGGCACTGGTCCCATGTCGACTGCAGTTCCAGTACCAAACCAGCAGCTTAAAATTCACATAGAGCATGTGTGCATGCATGCCCCAAATCCTGAGAGAAGAAGGGATAGTTGCATGACCATCCCACTTGGGAGTGATTTCTGTCTCTTTGCATCTCTTCTCTCTGTTTCTCCACCAAGCATGAGCACCCTATAGCAAAAATCTCTCTCTCAAAATAAAAAAAGAAAAGAAAAGAAAGAATAAAAGCAATTGATGGTGCCCAGCAGGTGGAAGGAAGTTTGAGGCACTGGCTCCCACATAGCAAATTGTGCAGTTAAAGGTCTGGACTCTGTGGCTTGAAAAATCACATCAGGTGTGTGTGTGTGTGTGTGTGTGTGTGTCCGTGCCTAATCGCCAACAAGGAGAATGGAGCAGAGAGTGCTGTGGTGTGGCCAACCCCCGTGTAAGGTTATTTCTCATTTTTCTTTTCTGTCTCTGTATGGTGAACACATATGCCCGAGAACAAAAATTGGAAAAAAAAAAAGTAATGAGGGTTATGGGTATGCGATATGACTAATGGACGTGACCACACAAAATTTTTAATTTTTCACATAGTACCTCCCACAATATTTATCTCTATATAATCCATCTTTCATAACTAAATACAAAGTAGCAAACTTACTTCAAAACCCCCAATTCTGGACCCATCCAGACACCCATTCCTGCAGAAGGCCTTGCTGGAAGGAGGGCTGCCTGTGGCTGAAGGGTTAACAGCTGGGACCCCTCGCTCATCTCCTCCCCCATTTGCATTTGAACTTTCAGGATTTCAGTGTTTAGTATAGCATATGATGCCCAACTTGAGCTGCATGATCTCTTCTTTGTTACTGACTTGAAACTCAACAACTCAGTTTCAGGCACATCTGCTCTCTAGAAACAGGGAGGACTTTGGGTAACCCAGGACCAGTGACAACAGTGCAGGGTGCAGGTGAGCAACAGAGAGGCAGAGCAGAATAGAGATTGCCAATTGCCTACTCCTGCACACCTTAGAATGCTTGGCAATACCTTGAATAATTTAGGAAGGAATGTATATCTCACCAGATGACTAGGAACCACTGGAGAGGCACAAGAAATATGAGCAACCAAGAAAATGTCTCTCCCCCAAGGGAAAACATAAATTCCTCATCACCCACAGACAACACAATGGAAGTCATAGAAATGTCAGGTAAACTCATAGTGACATAGTGACAGAATATTCATAGTGACCAAATTAAATGAGATGCAAGAGAAAAGGGACAATGAGTTCCAGGCAATGAAGAAGTTCTTCCATGATTTAAAAGAAGAAATAGACACCATAAAAAAGAATCAAACAGAATTGTTAGAGATTAAGAATGTGATATAAGAAGCTAAAACCTCTCCCCAAAGTATTAAAAGTAGACATGATCATGTAGAAGACCAAATCTTGAATGTAGAAGACAAAACCTCTGACCTAGAAAAATATATCAAAAAGACTGAGAAAACAACCAAGAAAAATGAGGATAATATACAAGAAATGCTAGGTATCATTAAACACCCAAACATACATGTAATTGTATTCCAGAAGAAGAAGAAAATAATAAGGGTATTGATAATTAATTCCATGAAATCCTGGAAGAAAACTTTCCAAACCTAGAGAGGCATTCAAATATCCAGATACAAGAAA